GAGGGTCCCCTGAGGGGTCCCTGGTTATGGGGGGGGTGGGGGGTCACCTGGAGATTCCTGGTTATTGGGGGGGCAGGTCACCTGGGGGCATTAGGGAGTCATTTGGGGATCACTGGTATTGGGGGGCAGTAGGGGAGGGTCCCCTGTTGTGGGGGTCACGTGGGGCCCCTGCGGGAGGCGTTGGAGGGCAGGAGCAGGGAGAAGCCCCTCCTGGGCAGCCGGCAGCAGTGCTCTGGGGGGGACATGCTGCGGCCTGGCTCTACCTGCCCAGCTGTGCGCGGCCCACTCATGGAGCGGGAGAGACGCGCTCTCCTCCTGCTGCCGGCAGCCCCCGCGGACCAGGGCAGACACGGATAACGCACACAGAGCAGCTCTCGCCCACGCCACTGACCGGACCTGCACGGTCATGCACGTCCGTGCCTTGTTTTTATCCCCCAGGCCGCCAGATCACCCTGCCTTTTCTTGGCACGTTTCGCCGCTGCAGTGCGAAGGAGGTTAATGCCAGCGAGAGGGATCTTATTTAGGCCACGTTACAGATACGCCGCGTTGGTTTTCCTTGGCGAAGTCTGATGAGAGCTTCGGAGGTTAGACGTTCGTTCTTTGAGTATTTCAGGCCTCTTCAAAGAGAAGATCTTTAACATCATAACAAATCACATTCCTGGGAGTTTTAATCTAAATAAAACTTAAGGTTTTGACCCATTAATATTCTATATGAGGGGGAAAAAAATGACTGTACAGAAGAGTAAACTCAGAAACGGAGGTGGGTTTTTGTCCCTTGTAATAATTATGAGCAATATCTCAAACTCAGCAATCTTAGACCATTGAGCTGTGTAGTATGAATGTGCTAATTAATCAATTACTATCCAACAACGTACCCTGTTTATTTACTGTAATGTACTACATGTGTGTAGAACCAGTAATTATTAATCATCGTCAGTAACAAATTTGACTCAAGTTCACCTTCTTATAATTAATAGAGCATATAGTTAGCTTTAATATCTTTCTTTATTAGCAGCAACAATGACTGGAAAGAAAGTGGGACCTGATGTAGTGGTTCATTGAAATGCGGGTTGGACTAATGTATTATACTCTAGCAACACTACCTTGCTGGTATAGTTCATGGTCAGTTTATGTTTTAACCCCAAAACATGTACTTGTAAATTTATGCTGAATTGAAATCTGGTGAACATACCCCGGCATAAGTAGTTCTGATTTTTAAAATAGATTAGCTTGGAGTTTTGAGAGATTTTGCAGTCGTGGACTTAAATGCTTGTGTGGCTCTTTCTTTTAAAAATGCATGGAGAGGAAAAAAATAATTCAATAGCTGTTTGGAGAGCAGCCTTTCACTCACCGAATAAATGTATGTATATCTATCTGTGTAAGTCCACAGCATTTATTACCTCTTGCAGGAGGCAGCGCTTGTGTTTTCACACAATCAGCAAAACATTTTAAGTTAAAAAAATGCGAAGGATTGGTATTTTATTTTCTATTATTTAAAGCTGAGGTCCCGATAAAAAGTCAAGTGTTTTGTGGTATCCATGTGAATATCTTTCATTTAGGAAGAACAAGCCACCTGGACAGTACGGCTGCATAACAAAAACTGGTTGTAAGATTAAGGTCTCTGTATTTTTTTGGAATACATTACAAAAATGATACAAAAATGCAAAAAAACCAAAGCAATACACTATTGAAATGCATGTCACTTCTCAGCAAGCCTTGAAGTGAAGATCATGGAGATCATAGCCAGACTGAACTGTCTACTGCATGGGGGAGCAAAGCAGGACTCACTGCTGCCATAATTAATATCCAATATACATCTGTGCGTATTGGTTACTGGAAGGTTTTAAAGGCAATTTAATAAACATTTGTCTGGAGCAGTTTAGAGAGAAAGGATCCTGCCTTGAGCATGGGTTTGAACTAGACTGGCTGCTTTCTGGAGGTCCGCTTCAGCTCTGGTCTTCTATAGTTCAAGTAAGTCGCTTAGGGGCGGATCCACCAAGGGACCTAGGCACCGCAGTGCTGATGATCACTGCAGAGCCTACATTTAGGTCAGGGGTCAGCAATCTTTTCAGGGTGGCAGACAAAAATAATGCAGGTTGGTACAAAGGTGGGCTGCCACCACTGCTTCTCTTGCTGCCATCAGATTGGTGACTTGCTTGCAGCCTGGCTGCATCTTCCCTCCTCTCTTCCAGGTAGTGCCCTAATTACACTGCTCTCCCTTCCCCACTAAATATTTAAGCATTCAATGTAAAAATGGAACAGCTTCAACAAGGAGGAAGGTGACTATCCCTGCCACACCTCTGCACAGCTTAGAGCCTGGTGGGGTAGGACGCTTATGGGAGATATAAATTTAAATCCTCTCCAGCGAAGGAAAAAATTCAAGCCAACCGCTCACATGCTAGTCTAGTGCCCTAACTGCTGAGTTGTATAACAGGGGCTTCATCATCCTCTTCTCACAAGGTTTTGTGCAGAGGCTGATGTTTTAGGTGTATACCCAAAGCATGTCTGCAATAAGAAGCAACACAAGCAGGGAAATGCTTAGTTTATAACCTCCGAGGCTTAGATGCAAGATGGGAATCGAGCTGCTCAGCGCCATCAAGACAGACACTTGTTCACATGTCCTGAACTTTGGACATCTGGAGAACTTTACTAGTGAACAAGTAGGTGCCTCCAGTGTTAGGCAGCAGGGTTTTAAGGAGGGGACCAGTTTGGGACTTAAACCAGCTAGAGTGGGAGTTAAACAGGACTTAGGAACTTGCAGCTTTTTGGCATGTAGCCCTAGGTGCGCAATTTACCAAGATGCAACTTTGTTCTGTTTTACAACGTGATATAAAAAAAAATTCTCATACAATATAAAAAATATTTTGGTTTTTTAACAGGTTTTGAAATAGCAGAGATTATTTTGTGTACCTGAGTCAAAGGCACCAAATACCCCAGAAACTAGCAGTTTAAGATCAGTAACAGCTATTGTCCTCCTCCATCAGGAGTAATAAAGTTTCACAACCATGAAATAGATTGTTACAGTGAAAAATAGTCTTCATTTTGAAGGCCTTTCTGAAGAGATTTTGCTTTCTACCCACAGAACAATATAATATTGTTCCATAATATGTTCTTGTACTTTTATACTCCTTTTTACCCAAAAACGCAAAACTGCTTTGCAGATATTAAAAGTCTCACAACCATACATCGTGTGTGCAGTATGAGTCCCATTTTACAGATGGGGAAAATGAAGCCCATATCCTCAAAGACATATGAACGTGCTTAACTCATGTCGAACAGTCTGATTAACCTCATTTGGATTATTCGCAGCCCATAAAATTAAACCTGTGCGCAAGCTACTAAAGAAGTAGGGCCTGAGGGAGAGTTTAAATGATTTGCTCCAAGTTATACAAAAAAATAGGGTGGAAGTCAAATCTGGAACTCCTGATTCCCAGTTCCTTGCTGTAATCATTAGATGACTGTTTCCCAAAAGGAAGTATCAATATATTATTGCATCACCTGTAGTGCAAATGCAATACTTCCATGAAGTATTTGTTCTCATCGAGTGAGAAGAAACTCCCAATGCTATTCCATTCAGTACCATCATTTCAAGTAAAGTTTTCTACACATCGCCATACAATGACATTGCTACGGCACCGCGCTTTAGTACTTCCTTTTGGAAGTAACTGCCTGTACTGCGCCGTGCGCATTGGTGCAGTTAGATTTTGCCAATACTTCACTGTAGCGGCATGCTAAAACGGGGCAGCGCGCCACTACGGGGAAGTAACTGTCGATCACGTGTAGACCCACGTGATTGCTGTATCACCATGTGGCAATGTAGCGCGTCGCTACAGCAATGCAGGGCGATGTGCAAATGCACCCTATAAGAAGTAAATGAAGAATCTTTATCACATATGCTGAATTTTCAATACATAAATCATCCCATTTATTCAGGGCTTATGTCAGGAGGCCCCATCTTAGTGACACTAATACTGCAAACATTTACCTTTTTTCAAGGTACATAGTTGAGTTCTCAAATCTGTTTGAACTCTTCTGTCTGTAGGGTATGTTACGTGAATGTATTCATACTCACTAGCAGCTTTGCCGAGTAAGAAGCTCTGAATTGTATTGTAAACAGCCTACACCTGCAACTGCACCACCAACCCATTTCCCAGCTTGTAAGACAACTCTGTCTCCTTCTAGTAAACATCCCACAGCAACTCTTGGCTCGAGCTCCCCTGCCCCAAACCTTGCCTACTACCTGTTGAGTTGTCTTCTGGCATCTGAGAAGTAACCAA